AAAGCTGCGGGGAACTATGCAAAAAACGCATCATCGCACGGACAGCCCGTGCGTTGGCCAATTATTGTGATTTTGTGTTGTAGTCTCCCCTAAAATAAATATTTCAGCACGAAATGAATAATCCGCTTTGGGAAAAGTTTGAACAGTTAATGAGTTTGCTCCGAAGCAGTGGAACAAAAGCAGAATCTGGAAATCAGGAAAAAAAATTGCAAGCGCTACATGACAGTGCAAAAGCAAAAGTGAGTTAAACGCAACCCATCAACACTAAAACCAAAACCGCCCGGAGTACTAGATATTACTGCCCTAATCAGTAAGACTATAGGGGTTTTATCTGTGCTGCTTGGAACGGCTGTTAATACACAAACTGCTTCTCAGCTATGTGGTTGGCAACTTTCCCGGTTTTCTTTAACAGTGTGGCTGGCGAGCCTAACGTTCGTTGCCAGCTCAACGATCCTTCTTACAGAAACACTTGGCAAGGCTTCATCTGTTCTGAAATGCCCCTAGTGTGTACTGAGCATCATCACCTCGTCGTAAACATTGTCACTCCCCATTCGGTAGTATCATAACGGCAACGACTGCTCTGTCAAGAAGCGGATTACGAAGCCCAAGTAACCCGCGAATAGTGTCACTCAGGCGTCTCAAGACCACTGGATTTAACTCTAAAAACCGAGCATTAATAACGAAAAGAATGATCTGCTTTTTTAGAAAGAAAAAATTTAAAACTTGTGCGGTGAATGAATGCGCAAAACATTACAGGATCTGCTATCAGTAGTGAGTGCAGAGACAACGAGAATTGACAAAGAAGTTGGTGAAGATCATCTTCTGGAAGTCCGAAATGCAAGGACAAAGGAAACCACAGATGAATCAGACAATGAAGGGAGTGGAAATACGGATTTTGATGAGGGAAAAATGAGAGAAAAAGACGATAAAACAAGCGAACTTAAGCAGATACTTCAGTCCAGTTCTGTTGAACGCGATCCGGTGACGGATAAGGAAGGCCCAGAAAACGGGCTCGAAAGAGGCGAAGACTTGATGTTAGCTGAAGCAATTGAACAGGACTTCAGCAGTAATGCACTTCCGGATAATAATCAAAATCCAACGCAAATGAAACGGAAACTTCAACAATCAAATGAATTTTGCGACGAAAATGTTAAAAAGCAAAAGGGTCCGAGAACAAGGAGTGACAAACTGGGCGACTTGTTCCGATACTTGCATTTATTCTTGAAAAAATCAAATAGTTCTGATCTGCGCGTGCTGCTTGACAGCACTGATAAGGGTAAACCACTGGTTGAACGCCTGAAGGAAGCAGTTCGAGCGATAAATTACGAGGAACTGCACCAGCCAGATTTCAGTGAAAAGAAAAAAACAGCACTGAACAATGAGCTTGAAGAGCAGCAAGTCGATGACGGATTGCAGGAAGCGCGCAGCGTCGGTGATATGCTCGTGCGCGAAATCGATGATGCAATTGCGAGCGACATCCTAGCAGATGAAAACGCCGCTAATGCAAAATTCAAGAAAACTGATCAGAGGATTATTCCAAATCGACTGCATGACACGGTACAGCTTTGGGCTGGAAGTGGAAAAGAGGTGAGCACCGGATCTGCAAGTGGTAGACTCTTTGAGAAGATTAAGGAGAAACTGGAAAGCAAACTTATGGCACGCTTAAATGAGCAGCCCGACCTGAACGGCAACACAAATAAATCAACTGAAACAAGCGAAGAAATAACGTCAAACATTAGGGAAGAATTTATGAATCGCAACGAAACTTCTCTGTACTACTATCCAGTGAATAACGAACGAAAATCTCGGACGTCGACAGTGTCTGCCGACCAGAGGAATACGAAGCCAGAAGGCGAGCAGCCACGCATTATTCGAAATGATACTCAACAAACATTTAAAAAATCGGTGATTAATCTGAACAACAGATTCAAAAATTCATTCGAGCTGCCTAACGCCAACACGATTGTGCTGGGGGAAGAAAAGAATGTGAAGGAAAACAAAAATAATAATAATGACATGATAATGACGATTAATCGAGCGGTCTCAGACGTGGAAAAAATCCTGGAAGGTGCCGGCAATGAAATCAAGCATTTCTTTTCACACTCACAAAGGAAGCCATAACAACTGCAGTGGCGGGAAGAACGAAGAATCAGGAAGCATTACAGAAATATTCCGACACTAGAAGCGAACGAACATGAACCGATGAAATCCTATCTGTATATCTTGCGAACCAGTTTCCTCACTAAATGTTCCCGAAGTTTTTTTGGGCCTTCCAGCCCTACCAGGCTTCTCCAGCAACTGATGCTAACACTCCACAATCAGTGAGCCGTGCTGAAAAAGCGACGTTCCTTCCAATTTCAAACTGCTCAGTACTGTACTAAATCCCTTGCACACAAAAGGTGAGGCAACGAGTATCGGTGTGAAAATTAAAAAAAAAAAAAAAAAAGTGGTCAAAAGGACTTTCATCCGGACATATGCGGCGTGTCCAGCCGGAACAGAAACTGTTTTGTTTAATTTCATTTAATCATTTAATAAATACTACTCGCTGTGTCAAACAACAAAGCACCAGAGAGAGCAGAGGCGACAATTCAATATGATGCGAGTGTGTATTTGTGAGGAGCTAGAAAACAAATTTTTAGAACATAAACTCCGACCCGCCGGAACTGGCGCACTGACAACTAGCACTGCCCTCGTGCTCAAAAACGAGGATACGACTCCGCGTGGGGGACAACCAACTCCTTTACTTTTCATTCATTTGTCTCAACATTAAACTGGTGCTGACGCATATGCTTCTAAGCAATCCTCAAAACAGGGACAACCTTCCAGTCGACGACTGCTGTTGGCACTGCTGTCACTAAGCTACTTTCCAGTGCTCCCACCTTTCAGAGACAATGAACGGTGAGGGTTTGGACTAGGAACCTGAAAAACTCCACCATTTCGGAAAACGAAAATCATTCTTTTCAAACCTTTCGTCTCCTCGCTCTGCAACTCATTCATACCGATGGGATAAACTAGAGGTAACAAAACCACGGATCCCAAATTTTATAGCTTTCAAACCATTTTTCCTGAGCAGTAAAAATGTTAATTCAAGGCTTAATAAATTTACAACAACCGGATGGGCCACCCCACCTCCGCGTCTACACTTGAACATTTGTTTATCTGCTTAGCGCCAACAAACATTTAAGCGTTAAATGAAAAAAACCGATTGCATCGTCCTACTGTCGGGTTCTATAAAACTGTGTCAGGATGGAAAGAGCTATAACTGTCATTTCCAATTCCAGTGAACAAAAGAAATTTCAACAAAGCTGGGGATCAGTGAAACTGGAAACTTGTACAGAAGATACTGTTATGTCAGCAGTTACTGTAACAGGAGAAAATCTCCGGAAACACAGAAATGAATGGACAGGCGTAAGTTCTAATCAAAAAAACTGAATTCTGCCATATTTCTGGCTACAGTAGCATACACAGCTAGCAAAAAATGAAAGCCCATAAATTTAGATGGAAAGGAAAAATTAAAAAATTAAAGAACTGCATTCCTCGCGTAAAAATTTTTAGTATTATTACACACTGCTTCGGAACACTTCGAAATGATTTCACGTTTCCTAAATTTCGCTTACCACACAAACAATAAGTAATGACAGATGCATGAACAGGGGAACTATGTGCAACGGGTTAAAACTGATAACAGCACTGAGAGAGAGAGAGGCACACACCTGACCGACTATGATGACATCAAGTGAAACACATATACGCGACATAATACTAACAAAATAAACGCATTACTAAGCATACCCGGCAATACATTTCAACAAGATCACATGAAAGAAGCCATTTTTAGTAGTCTTTTATAAATAACACTAATTGATGCAGAGTAGCAGTTTCTGGTAAGAAGCATGTAGTTAATCATCACGAAAATGAAAATGCATGAGTCCCCTCAATGGCTGCTACAAAAATGATCCAGCATAACAATGCGATCGCGAAAAATTCCCTCGATTTAAAACTAATACAGAGGAATGTCAAAATGCACAGAAATTTTGAATGAAAAATGACTAGAAGCCTTCACAATTCATACATTGTGGTGAGTTGTTTCCACGAGAAATGAAGTAGTCTCATCGCGCCGAGGCATCAACACTCTTATTGCGGTGGCCGGTCGTGGTGGTAAAGGAGGCGGCGCTGCTGCTCCATCCGCCGATCTAAAAAATTCCAGAAAATAGACGACATAAGTGCTCAAGGTTCGAACGCCAGCATATCTTCATCAAATTCACCTGTTCGCCAACTTCACCGATTTGAGGGTCGTTGCATCATCATCGTCGTCGGCTAGCTGCAGTGATAATGAGGAAAACGATTTTAACGAATGCTCAAATCGCGACAAATCTAGCGTTGATCGAGGCGTTGAACCACTGTTCTCGTTTGAATTGTCAAAACTACGATCGGAGGAAGACGAAATGCGTTTCGTTATTCTTAAAAGTAATTTTGCTCATAATAAAGTGATAAGATGCGCGTTTTGCACAACTGTTGCAGTACAATAACGCATAAAAAGCAGCAAATGCTACTAAAAAAAGCTGGCGCAAGAACTCAGATGTGCTGATGATAACACTCTTAAATGATTACCCATTCTCAAAGGCAGTTTTCAAATCCGATTTTAAACCAATTGATTTCCTCGGTGTAGTTCGACCACTTTTCGTGCCTCCGCCGCCTCTCCGAAATACGCTCATCACGGACGGAGTGCTGCAGCATTTATACTCACATCACTTACAAACATGCGAAACAAAAACTGTTATAATTATAGAAAGTGCTTGAATCATTTATATACAACTCTTTTGCCCTAGGAGCAAAAATCGCTCAAATTTAAAAATGAAGTTCAAAAAATAAAAATTTTTAAAAAGTAAGAAGTAAAGACAACTAGACGACTGAAAAGCGAAACTAAACGAAAGCAGGTTGGAAATAAGGATCTCAACAAATCACAGGCCTCTCTGCTCTCCCCGATTATTCTCAACTTCAGGCCATTTGCAAACTAAGAGGAATTCATCAACTAATGATGGCACTTATACTAGAAGCACATCGAGTTGAAATGGTTTATATAAGAATGCCAGTAGCAATTTTTCACTGAGCTCCTCGGCGTCTGCCGCTGCTCTGCTTCGGTCAGGACAGAATGCATCACTTATGGTGAAAATAACAGTCAACTGGTACCAAGAAGTCATAGAAAGTTCTATTAAAAACTGAAATTGGCAAGACTTACCTTGAAAGTTCTAAGCCACTAGTTCTTCTGTCCAGTGACGAAGTAGGAAGATGTATTGAGCAGCCGGGCGGCAAACGGGAAGGCTTAAAATAACAAATAAGAAGGCACCATATAAAGTAGCGCATTAAATTAATGACGGAAAAAACCATACCAATTTTCCAAATTTTTTCTCAATATTCGTTTTGTATTCGGAAAATGACGTTACAAGCGATTCATGAAACTGCGGATCAACCTGATGGTTGCGTGAAGCTTGCGCATACAAACAGAATTCCAATATGGGCACCTAGAAATTAATGAAAAAAGAACAGAACTGCCAGAAACCATAAACAGCGATCAATCCAGCCTGACAAGTCGGAAGAGGTCGTGCAAAGCCCATTACCTCTGCCGTCCCTCTCCCTAATGTAGTAGCTGCCAGCGCATCTACTTCATACTTACCTATTTACGCCTCGTTTCGGCATTCTAAGGCACATACTGAAACACCGGCATCCAAGTCTCAATACAACCACATGTTACTTTTTACGAGAAACAAAGGCAGTCATTAGTTATTTGGATAGTCACACCAGAAAAGTTAGATTTTTGATGCGCCAGATATCTCAAATGTAACATATCAGCAAACCAAACGAAGTGAACCATAAACTGCTTGATTTTACTCAGGAGACAGCTCTCCAAATAAACCAACCATACCCTTATAAAGCCAAATGAAAACAGCAGGACAAGTGAAGATGTACAAATAACCTGATTTTTTATCAACAATTTCAACTGTCGCACCAACTCGTGCTCCTCAGGCGTTAACACTGCAGCACACTGATCCGAGAAGAAAATCTAAAGAGCACTGCACGTCACCGCAGAAGTCCGAAATCTCTGAGTTTATACAAAATATCCCCGGAAAAAAAAAAACAAACGCTGTAGTTTTTAATTCCGCCTTGTACAAAAGCCTGCACAACGCCTCGAATTTTGCCACCCAATGGGACAACCGATTCCAAAGGCGTCGAGAGGACAACGTGCGCCATTTCCTCCAATTCTTCATTATTTTTCTGCATCGTAGTCACAGCTTCCATAAGTGGTGAACATTCGACCTGAGAGATGTATTCTCACAGTAACCATCAGACTACCAACAACCAAAAAAATTTTCATATTCGGGACTTTAAAAAAAAAGCAAAAAGATTTCAGAATCTAAGCTTCACCAGTCCGTTTAGGGGAAAAACGCATTTTATATCATGACGAATTGTTGAATGTGTTCTGCATGGAAAATCATTATTACGCCTAGTGTTTTTACAGAGATCAAAACACTCCCGTCCCCTTTCTCCCTTCCACCTCCCCTGTTCTCTTAAAAATTATCTATGGTGTCCTTCTATCTTCGAACCACTTCCACTTTCTATAAACAAAAAAACCCAGCCCATAACACAACCAGGCTGGAACGCACCAGGCGGGCCGGTGCGATTGTGCGTTTTTGTACTTTTCGTGCCGTAGCAAGAACGCAAGAAATCACAGTAGCTAGTTCTGCGACATACTGACCCTCGAGCTTCGGGAGGTTAATTGTGCAGCTATGCGGTATGTTAGTTGTAGATGTCGACTTCAGTGATCCGACAAATGGAAAGTTGCTGGTCGGCGAAAAAGGCCGCACTGGAAGAGTTAAATTTGAAATCTTTTAGTAGTACATGGATAAGGAACATTCACTTAAAATTAAAGCCTTCAGCTTTTCCCGTCCCCTAATTTAGCAGTTTTCCCATCAAAATTTTCACGTGTCCGTGCGTGAGTAGCGGACGGTTTTAAGGAGCTGAATTTGAAATCTTTTGGTCATGCAAGAGTAGGGTACGTTACCCTAAAGTTTCAGCTTTCTACCTTTTCCCGTTCCCGGATTGGCAATTTCCGCGCCAAAATTTCCACGTGCCCGTACGTGAGCCCCGGGTGTTTCTAAACATCTGATTTTGGTTGTACAAAAGTAGGAAACATTCCGCGAAAGTCCCAGCTTTCTAGCTTTTCCCGTTCCCGGGTTGGTGATTTTCGCGCCAAAATTTCCAAGCGCTCGTACATGATCCCCGGGGGGTCCTAAGGGGCTGAGTTTGAAAACTTTTGGTCGTGCATGAGCAGGGAACATTACCCCAGAGTTTCAACTTCCTAGCTTTTCTCATTCCCGAGTTATAAATTTTTCGACCATAATTTTCACGTGCCCGTACGTAAGTCAAGGGCAATCCTGGGCAGCTGAATTTGAAATCTTTTTGTCATACACTAGTAGGGAACATTCTCCTGCGGTTTCAGCTTCCTAGCTTTTCTCGCTCCCGAGTTAGCAATTTTCTCGCCAAAACTTTCGCGTGCTCGTATGCGGGGCCCAGACGTGTGTGAGAGTCGATACCGCGGTCCTGGGGTGGCATTTGGCTGGGGAACATACTGGGAAAATTTCAGCTTCAAAGCTTGCGTGGTTGGCGAGTTGAAATACCGGAACACACACACGCACACACACACGCGCACTGAGAGGGTCGTTGCAATATGCGCTTTTGCTGCCTGTTGCAGCACTCTAGCGTTGCACAGCAAAAACGCATAAAAATTCCTTGCACCTCTTTCAAGACAAAAATTGGCCGGCGTGCCGGCTGCTGGTGAGATGCATTTTCTGCATATTTCCCCCGCAGGTTTTGTAGCTCACGTCACCATTTTCCTTCTGGCAGATGCATCTAGCTAAAAGGATTGAGACTGACCACCACGAATGTCAGAAATTGCTACAATGACTCCCAATTCGAGCTCAAAAAATACAACAATCAGGTTGTTTCGATTGCGGAGTAACGCAAATTTCATGTGTTCGTGCGTGACAAAAGCGTGAATGTTGTCTTCGCGTAGATCTGCCGAAGTGCGGTCCTAGGCCATGCTCAGAAAATTTCAAAATGCCAGCCGCACTGGCCGCGAAGTTATGCCAAATTCCACATGCTCTTACGTGAGAGAGAACGTAGATGCCGCTTTCATGTGTGCTTGTCCACATACGGTCCTGGGCTATGTTCAGAAAATTTCAGCGCTCCAACTGCGCTGGTTGCGGAGTTACGTCGAAATTCACTTGTTAGTAAATGAGAGGGAAACGTGAAAGTTCTCTTTATGTGCCACCGCCCAAACATGGTCCTGACCCATTCTCAGAAAATTTCAGCGCTCTAGCTATTTCGGTTATGGAGTTATGCCAAATTTCACACGTTCGTATGTGAGGGGGAACGTGGATGCCGTTGTGCGCTTGTTCAAATACGGCTTTGGGCTAAGCACAGAAAATTTCAGCACTCCAATTGCTTTAGTTACGGAACCGCGTCAGATATCACTTGTTCGCGCGTGGGAAAAGCGTGAGTGTCGCCTTCATGTGCGTCTGCTGGGATTTCAGTGGTCGCGAAGTCACGTCAAATTTCATGTATTCGTGCGTGGGAGACTTGAGACATGAAAGGAACGCGAAAGTTGCTTTCACGTCCAACTGGTCAAACGCTGTCGCCGGCCACACTCGGAAAGTTCAGTCCCCTTTCTGCTTCAGCTTCGAAGTTACAAAACTACGTGAAATTTTCACATATCCGTACATGAAATCCAGAGAGGCCGGAAAGCTCAATTTATTTTCACGGCCACATCAGTGGGCAACAGATGACGCTGCAAAACTACATCTCTCTACAACTTCTCGGTCAGCTTAAATCCGGAATTGGGACGATGCCAATTTAAACTTTGACGCGTGCGTACGTGAGACATAGGAGAGCGTGAAGGTTGAATTTAAAATCCCCGTGTTGTAGACGTGGCCAAAGAACATTTTGGAAGGTTTCAGCTTTCTATCTTGTGCGTAAATCGCTTTCCCGGCAAAAAAACTTCAAGTGCCCGTACGTGAGAACCACGTAGACATGAGCGTCCATCTCGGGGTCAGAAGCCCGTATGTACGTGTAGATCAAGTTACCAAAGTTCCAATCTTGTAGCTCTTGCAGGCTCCCAACCGAAAACTTGATATGCACACACATACACAGATAACCTCTCAACAACATGCATCATGAATTGCATAGATGCAAAAAAAAAAAAAACCATAAAAAATGGCAGCTGCGAATATCTGTAAAACTGGGGTGCAAGCATCTTTGCAAGTAGTTAAAAAGCTGGCTAAGGAAAATCTTAAAAACCGGTTAAGGAAAGCAGCAGAATAGTGTCGGGCGAGTGGTGCAGCTGCGCAAGAAGGGTCAGGCAAGTGGTGCAGCTGCGCTACAATACAAAAGCGAAGTTTGTAGACAAAGAAGACCGGAAGAAGCGAAGAATTTGTAGGAAGTTTCTGTACTGATTCGTTTGTCGTGATGCAGAGTCCTCACTTAATGTCCTACCTCCCAAATATCAGCTGCCTGGAAAGCAAAAATCTACTATATAAGGGAAGCATACTTCCCTCAGTTCAACATGAAAGTCAAGAAGCAGTAGTTCTGGATGGCTATTAGGAACAAACATTATACAGTTGACTTACAAGCTGAATTTGGAGCTAAGCAGACGGGAGAAAACAGGACGGATATCTTTCACCATGTTATGGGAAGTTTCTTTTCCGTACTAACACAGCATCGAATGTGAAAGCTACACTTTTCGATTTCACTGTGCTGCATTTCTGCTGGATAAAGTGAAACAAGGAGTGCCAACTGCTGAGAAAAGGCTAGCGGTGACCTAGTGAATCGCGGAACGACCTTTGGTAGCTGACAGCCAGTTGCAATACGAAACAACCAACGAAGCGCTGCAGCTCTGGTTCTGCTTTAACAATACAAATTAAAACTGAATGCACACTTACAACATCAGAAACAGTGGTGATCTGCGACCACTTCAATATGCTTGGCAGCTGTTCTTTTGTAAAAACCGAACGTCGGATTACCCAGGACCTCATAATTTCGTTATCTTCAAGCTCCGTCCATTTTGTACCCTTTCGAAATTCGCCCTTGCAAAATTCAAATTTTTGCACCTAAAACACTCATATAAAAGCAACACGCAGTTATATTTTGAAAACTAGCCGAACTAAAGACAAACTTTTTAAATATTCAGAAGTGATTACTCGATTGTTCTTAAAGTACCATCTGATCAAACGATTGAAACACTTCTTTTCCCATCTTCTTTCAAAAAGCGGCTGCACAGGAAAGATTTGTAAAAATCTGCCATCATGCTGGGCAAGATGAGAACAATCATCCATTGTTTTGATTAGCTCCGAGCCCGGAAATGTTGACTGCATTCGATGTTGAAAGCTAACGATCGCCTAAATTATGCTCCACTCAAAAACTGAGGGATTTTACATGAAACAGTCCGATACAACCCAGAAAAATAACATACCGAAATCAAACTGACCATCACATTCGGGAACTGTAACCCTGACTGTACTGCTGCATGACCTAAGGTCCGCTACACAAGTTTTGATAAAGTGCGTTCAGCAACATCCCTCTAAAGAACGTTTTTTGAAGATATTAATGATCAACTAACTTCGCACTCGTTTCCTCTATAAATAAACTGTCGGGCGTTGAGATAACTCGGAAAACCAAGCCCATAAAATGCGACAAAATAATATGTGCATGCGACTCGTCCTTGCGTACTCACTTTATGATACAAATCCGCAAGACGGCGCTTAAATGAAAACTGCTTATAATCATATAACAAAACAGCACTTGTTTTCGGGATTTATTTAGAAAGAAAACAAAAAATTCGAGACCAACAAAGAATGGACTTAGAACTACATTCAGGAACAGCACGCAAATCAGTGCGGTAAACCTTATCAAGCTCGGAAAGATCAAACAAGGTAGAAACAGAAGGCAGATTCAGGACACGATAACGCAATTCAGAATCGGTAACAAAACATGCACAGTGTTAACAAAGTGCATTCAAAAGCATTTAGTAAAATGAAAAAAAATTTGGGAAAATTCCTATGAAAAGGCATGTCCAACAGAACAAAATCCTACAGCAAAGTAGCTGAGATGCAGTGACATTCTAAACTGAACCTGTACACGGGCAACACATCAATTAACCACAGATCGTAGAAAACATACGCCTCATTTACTGAACACAATTAATTTGCCTTCCATTCAGTTTCTTCTATTTTATAGTCGGTGGAGGTAGCTGATCACAGCTTACAAGTCGAAGCACGAGAAACAGATGGCGATGCTCAGCATATACGAAGGATATCTCGAAATGGTTGATGCCTTGCCGGATTTTTCGGTCGGGAAGACTGCTGAGCTGCTAATCTCATCAACAGACGAGACGGACGCCAAGATCACTCACTGTGTTGCATTAACCAGTGATGCATGCAGCAAGCGATGCAACATTGGCCACTGCAACCTTAAAGGTTGTCCCGACTATATTTCACAGCTAATCCAAATATTCCAAGTATAATGCCTTCCAAAGAGACAGAGTGCGTACATCGAAGAGTCTCGAAATTTATGATAAGAATGCTAATAAAGCTACGAACATACCAGAAGAAACGGTAACTTCTCGTATTCATAATTCTTTTCATATTCCAGTGTCAATTCCTTCAGAATACCAATTGACTCTTCCCACAGTTCTTTTTCATCAAACAAATTGGCTGCCTCATTGTAGAGGGCTTCCTTGAGTTGACGCTGGGTGGCACAATGGCGATTTAAATGTGCGTTAATAAGCGCAGTTGGCAGCTCGCAATCTGTCCACTAAAGATGCTTCAAATAAAAAAAAAAAAAAGAACCTGCGAAAAGACCTTGAGTTCTGTAGCGCTCTTGAGCCTAACGAATGCCTGAAGAGCACTGAACCAGACCCGAAAACAATCGGTTAAGTTCAAAACGATCAGGATGAAACAGATCTTGAGTATTTTATAGCTACAACTAAAAACTCACAGACAATGTTTCGGCATGCTTAAGCAGCGTAAAAGCAGCTTCGATTTTGTTGTTGCTGAGCATGTGCAGATCGTAAAGTTTGTACACATAATTTATATAGAGGTCCGGCTGCCCAATCATATCGTAAAATTTCTGCAACCTTTGAAGATACAACTTATCACATTTTCCAGAGTAAAAAACACCTTAAGTTACGCGATCATGTTTTTACGAAAGTGAATCCTAACGAACTCAAATTAACATCGCAAATAAGTCAGGAGGCAGCAATGTGAACTGTCCCTCCTCTCGAAGAAGAGCAATCTCGCCTTACAACAAGAAAAAGAGAGAGAAAAGCTGAACAGATTTTTTTTTTTTTTTTTGGAGGAAAGGATAACAATTGTCGACGGAGCGCGCTGATAAGCTTTCCCAACCAAAATTGCTTGGAGAAGTGAAAATGGAGACGGAGAAACGGGAGCACAGGGATGCGAAAAAACTCACCAACAGTTCAACAGTTCGGTCCATACCATTTTCAATACAGTAGCCATTTGTTCGTACTTCCCGGTACTCAAAAAGATGTTGCAGAAGAGTGTCAATTACATCCACGAACTTGCAACCATCAGCGACAAGATCACTGTCCGAGCGGCACCTGATTACTACTGATTATCAAGAAAAATCCAACAGTACAGCTCCAGTAAATACTCCAAAAACTGTGAGTACTCAGCTAATTTCTCAAAATGATGAGTAAAAATGATTACATATCCATCATGATGTTTCGCAGCTGTTTCTTGAATTTCTCGCCACCACAGTCCTCATCAACGAGGCAATCTAACTGCATTATGGTTTCGTTGGCAAACTTAAAAATTAGTAATATTTGTAAACATTTTATTTATAGCATTAGACCAAATGTAGTCAAAAAATAAAATCCTCTTCATATTCATTCTCCATGCACGAGATAACAATATCAATCAAATCGAATTCGATCAAATATCGAACTGAAGTTCGAATTAAATACCGAAGCAAAATCGAAGATCAAATAACCTTTGTGAAGGTGTGTGATAGAGAGGAATGGAATTCGCATTGCAACATGTCAAAAAATATCGGTATCACAGTTTCACGCACAACGTCATCATCAACAAGAGCAACTTGGAGATACGAGCCAATCATAGACGGCACATACAACGTCTTCTGAGCCACTGCAAACGATTATCGAATTTACTCAGGCTACCCCCTCTTCAAATACATGTCCTATAGGGCTATCATCTTGTGTTTGTATCATGTTTGTGTTTTTCGGCCTGCTATTGTGCACACAATAAGAACCATTATTTTGGTAACAGCAATTTGATCGAATCGGTCGAATCAACGGTATGTTGCTGCTTTTTACACAAACAGCAAAATGAAGCCAGTTGCAAGTTCCTCCTAGGCAAGCCAGTACTCGCATTAAAAACCAAGGAATTTTAAAGAAAGATGAGCTTTGCCAGCGAAAAGCTTGATCGCAAAAGAAAGGCTGACCTGGTCGTGCTGGCACTGCTTTTGCAGCTACAGCTGACAGTTGAAAAACGTACCCGACAAACGGAACCACATGGAACGTAAATCTGCAACGGCAACTCGTCTCAAGTCCGGCTGCGATGATAACACACGAGAGCGCCTTTCCGTGACTGCTGAAGAACCCAACTGAAGCGCCTTATGAGTGCACAGCGCCACCATTGTCAGCATATATTCACGCCAAAGCTGAAAATCACCGCTTACACGTACCCTAGGAACCAAAGGATGCAAAATCAACAGGATCTGGAAGTGTGTCTTGCTCACATAAAAGCACGATCACATGGACATCTGCATGATTGTAGGCTACCACCCTAATCGCTCTAGTAACTTGCAATTCAGTTCCGCAAAATAGTAGCAAATCCAGTGGAGTCAAACAAAATTACGCAGCTATGAACACAAAAAACTAAAAGCACAAAAAACTAGACGAACTTCGACATCGAACTGATCGGCGTGAAAGTGATCAATCATTGTTGACATGATAAATTTCATTGTTTTCAAAATTACTCTGAAATGCGATCACAGAAGGTTGTTCAAGCGGCAACAAAGAACATGGCTTTCTTTTTGATAAATTTTACCTATTTTGTAGCAGTATCATTTGGAACCATGATGAAGCAAAAGGTGATTTGTTGATGAGGTCACGAAACAGATGAACAAGCTCCATTAACAAATCGTGCTTGTCAATACGCGTGCTGTGGGACTCCAAGTAGGTTTTATACATCTGTGCCGAAAGTTTGCTCAAAATTGCGATCGTCAACGCGCAGAATACGGACTAAAATTTGAATAAATGAAAAAAAAAAAAATAAGGGAGAAAGCACAATCAGAAGAAGAGAGGTCTCAGCACTGCGTACGACAGCAGTAAGAAACCAAAATATGAAGGTCGGAAAATGAATAAATGGCAACGCGCACCAGACTAGCCGGTGCGATCATGCGTTTTGTGCAATTCAGCCCA